ATGTCGTGTTATAAGTATCTTTCCTGATGTGGTGTGATGTCCAACAATGAGGGAGAAGCTGGGGCATTAGGGGCTTATATATCTAATTATGGACTCGTACTGAAAGGCAATTACCTTTCAGCATTGAGTATCTCGTAGGAAATCTCCTATCTCACAGGAAATATCCCCTCAATGAAGTGCAATTTGCGTTGCAATCCTTCGCAAAGCCGGAAGTATGCGGCACAATGCTGGAGGGAGCCGTACAAGGACACCATGAACATCCTGATACCTGACCAAAGAGTTCTAGAATAATCTGGAACCCTTTTGTCCCAAAATCAGCGTGCAACAATGGAGTTGAGATTATGTTCCGAACCACTGCCTGCTTGAGCTGTAGAAAGTTGTCGTCAACACTCAACTTATACTTCACGAGCAATTCCCACTTCTTACAGGTTATCCCTTGCCCTGCTCTCTCAAGTCTCCTCGTCTGACTGCCAACAAAAAGACCTAATCGTGTCCCGAAGCGGTCATCCTGACATCTTCAGCACCTAATCGGTCACAATTAGAGCGACAACCCTGATACATTTGAAGGATTTGATCTCTGCATAGTGTGCGTATCGCCCATCGCCAGCCATATTCCGCCTGATGCACGAACATGACACAGGCCATCGAGTGATCTCAATGATCATGGCCCTGACCTGGTCAGAAATAAAGATCCTAATTCGCAAGTTTGTCCGTCCACTATACCATCGCCAAATGCCAGATTTGGACTCCTTCATAGATGAATACATCGAGAAGACCACCACCAACGCCGTGAGATCCCTGTGTCAGCTTTTTCCAATATTCTTAGCACTCTCCCTCAACTGCGGGGGGGTGCTCAATGATTTCATTATGCAGGTTGTCCCGTATCCAATAGACGAAGACGATGGCTTAATTGGTGAGTCCCTTCAATTGCGAATGACTAGGTTTATGTGATGAGTAGATCAATTTCTGCAGTGTCGGTCATTGGAACGCCGAGGTGATCTTGGGCGAGCTATGATCTTTAGTCAAACGGTAGCCAGGCCATACAATATTCGACTATATGCACCAAGCAAAGCTACAGGTGGCATGGGAAGTCCGGAAGGGATATCCCCGTTCATTTTCTTCAATGATGGAATGGCTGGCCATGACTAGGAGAAATTCTGTTGTAGGATTGAGGTCAAGGAAGACTGGACTATAGCCTACAGAGCATGAAATACCAGCTGAATTGTGAGAGGAAAGAGATGGATTTATGTTGGGATCCCCGATGGGCTCCCACGCCGGTAGGCAACGTAGGGTCACGTGACACTCCTCCGTACACCGCTAGTTAGTCCATATAGATGGCCTACGAGGCCCCTAGCTAGATCATCATCCATCTCATTCTACACGGTTGAATCGCCTTAGTAGCCACCCCAACAATTTATTTAGGACCACTAGTCTTACTCCTACTAGATGATAGTAGTTGTGAAGATCTTTATGTCCTCGGCTTCGACAAGTCTCAGTAAACATACACAACAATCACAGGCCTCAGTCCTTTCTTTCATCAACTCTCATAGTTCAGACCACATGAATAAAGAAGACAATCATATCTTCCCCGGTCAGAGCAGTTTCTGGTCCCTCACAAGTACAGGCCCCCTAACAATCACCAGATACAAGAATTCCCCTCATGCTTTCCTCCGCGACTATCGTGCTGAAGATAGTAACACTTCTCCCTTATTGAGAACCCCAATGGGAAAAACGAAGACCCACAAGCGTGAGATCAAATAAAATTGCGCCTTGGCACCTTGTGTCGTCGCCGCATGTCTCCATACGGTATTTCCAAGGGCCAGGGACTTAAAAATCCACCTCTTCTTTTAACCACGATTACAGCAGCCACGTTACGGCTTTGCTCTGATGAGCTGATTGTTTGCTGGTATGAACCAGACCCCTATCCAACCATGAGGGTAGGGTTTTTTGTTTCTGGTTGTCACTGTCAGTCTGATGTACAATGATGTGTTTATGGCGAGGGGGCTCTCGGAGGGCACTCGAAGTTGTCCGCACTTACCTTCCGCATCATCAGGCTTGGATGCTGGGAGGTTTTGTCCGGTGTTTTTAAATCGCTCGTGGTGCAGGGTGACGCCTGCTGCGCGTATATGGTAGGTCAAGATACGATCGAATGGTGTTGTTCAAGGAGAAGGTAGTGGGTAGAATATCGATCTGGTTTGTGTTGATAGCAGTGTGCGGGTACTCGAGATAGTCTATTTCTGAGTGTATGACCGGTCAGCGTTTGGACTCTGCCAGTGTTTGGTGCACCATGACATACCTTGAAGTAGAATGTGGGTTGGAGGAAGAAGCATTGTTTCGTTCAATGAAGGACATCCGCCGCGGTATCTTGTTGTTGCTTGCAATAAACATCGCAGCGTGACAACGCAGTCAGGTAACGTCAGGATGAGCTGGACGTGGAAAATGGCAAAGTCCAAGCATCTCAGAAGCAGTGGTCGGAGAATCTGGCAGTTCTACCTACCATAGTGGGAATTCTGAGACTACTATGAGACGACGCTGGAAGGGTTTATATAGAAAGGATAAGGGAGTCTATGTGGTATGAGCAAAATGATTTAGAGACGATGACCGATGGGCTAAGTTGGGTTGTTGACGCCCATCGTGTGTTGCGGAAGCCAAGGGCTTCCAGCAATGGAGAGTATTAAGACATCTGGAGTGTGTGAGAAAGGGTAGTCCAGCTGGGGGGAAGAGGGGACTTATATAGACGACGGTGGATCCCAGATTACATAACTTCGATCGGAAAATCCCTACATGTTGTCGGCGAAATCCTACAAGAAATGGTGATTCCCTCGGCGTTCACCTTCAGCTAGGCGCTTTTTTAGTTTCATGCCGAGAGATGTCACTGGAATAAACGGAGATTTCACTAGGAGATGTCCGGCAATAGGCAAGTAGCGGTGGGGTTGCCAAAAGATCTGTCCAATCATGGGGCCTTCTACTACTATGATTCCCTGTGAGCTAATTCATCATAGTGTTTCACTTCCAATACTCCGCCACCCCAATAAGTGCATTAAGGACAGCTTCACGCGGTTGGAAGTTTGAAGGTGAAAAAGGTGGCAAATAGATCGGCTGGGTGAAGTATAGAGATCACCTGTGTTCTCGCTACATCTAGGAAGTCTAAGCACTTCACAACTTACTGGGTCGACTAAAGACGATAGCTAGCAGTCCTTGTATGTCAGCAAGCGGTGGGATACTTATCCTTCGACCGATGATTGTATTCCGCAACATGGGAGATCAGGGGCAGGTGTGCCTACAACATAACACTAGCCTAGTTAGAGTGTGTCAGCTGGCATAACAAAGATCCGATTTGATTCCCTAATCTCACAAGGCCTGTATGCACCACATTCTGTGTACATGTGATTACATAATATTTACCATTCGTAATGCGATTACGGGCACGTGATGAGACTCCATCCACAATGTTTAAACTCACCCCACCAAAGGTCGGTCCCGCTCCGCCCCGTTGGCGGATCCGTACCAAGTCCCACTTAATAAAACCAACTGCGGAACAAGAACCCCTGTATGGAGTATACAGTAAGACGTTGATAAAATGACTGTGGAGCATATGCTATTCTCCACTCCGGGTAGACAGATCTTGTCGGAGGGACGATCCCGACCGTGATACTGTATTAAGAAACTTCTTCGCTAAAAACGGGGACATGATCGATGACGAAAAGTAAGGTAGAGAAAAGAAACAGAAAAATGGGCCAAGAAAGAAGCAGAGGGTATCTCGAAAATAGCACAGACAAAAAAATAGACAGCCAAAAGAAGTTTGATAAGAAGCATGCAGCGTCTGCAAGCCACCTCTCCTCCAGACCTATCGCACCCTTGGCTGAAAGTGTATTCGCAGTTGATGGTCTCTCATGTTGTCCCTGCGGTTGAATGGCTGCCCGCACACATGGCAATAGAACTCTTGACGGGATATGTGAGTGTATCGGACATGTCTGATCAGGTCCTCGGCTCTGTTGAAGGTCCTTGTGTACGTGCAGCCCACCCAGCCACACTGAAGAGCACGTGACCTTGGGGTATAGCGTGGTTCAAGGAACGTAGCATTATTCATGGAAAAATCAAGGACTCCTTGTAAGCCCGGATTGCAGAGCACGGCTGTGAGAAAAAGAAGATGGTTAGAAAATATTTGAGTGAAAGAATCTGATGCTGGATAGTCTTCCTGCATTCTCTTTATCTTTATTCTTTCCTATATATATAGACCTCTTCCCAGAGGCATCCTTAGCCAAGATACTAGACAGCAATATAACACCCCATCAACTCAGCAGCTGTGAAACAGTTAATGTTTCTCAAATACAGGGATTAATGTTCTCAAACTGAGAGCATGGCCGATAAATGAACACGGCAGGGTGCTTTTTTAACAAGAATTATGATTCAGACCAGAGTCTAACAGGGCGGTTAATATTGGGATTACCGTAAGCCTGGGAGTCGGCCATGATAACCTTCTAGAGTAAACTGTCTCATCCCAAACACCATTGTGATTCTAACTAGAATCGCTTACTAGATATATGAAAATGGTGGGGGCGGACCCGTCCATCCCACTGCAGCTAATTCTTACTAGTTAGGTAGCAGGGCTGTTACCAGTCCTGTTGCCTATCACTGTGTCAGTCTCTTTCTCTTTATCCAATATCATCTTATTTTTTCTCCACTATACAACTCCACTGACACCACATATAATTATACTGACTTTTTTTCTTTTTTATACTGCAGATGTGCCAGCCAGCATATAAAGCTTTATCTTTTATCTCTTCTCGTATATATAATCCCACTGATCTCATTTTCCTCGTCCCCTAGATAATCAGCAATTTCATGGCCCACTTTTACAAAGCTCTTGATTATCCAGACCTCTTTTGCCTCGTGCGCACTCCAGAACAAGCTGATTACAATGATTAGGATATCCTACTCCCTCTCAGCAACTTCTCCACCAGCTTCAAAGATATAATAGACGTCAAACTCCGCCTGTTCACCCAAAACAAGATCAGAGAGCTCGGGGAAAACAAAAACACTGGGCAGCTTGAACCCCACTGGAAAGCCATATTAGATGAAAGATCATCATAAAACGCAACGGTGGTCCTCTATTACAACAAAGAGCTGTCCCTCTAGGCTCAGAGTCTGGAAGATACGCTGGATGGTTTCAGTAATTAAAAGAATCCATATAAGTAATCTTACTGATTTAAAGCTAAATCCAGCATGATTTTTCCACAGGTATGCCCGGTGTCCAATCTTTCAAACACTGGCCGAAACTTTTCCAATGGCCACACACTATCCACCATACCCCGGCACTTTCCCTTCTCCATCAACTTAGTAATCATCCCTAGCTGTTTTCCACTGGACTGCATCACAAAAAAGACATCTCTCACTCCACCCTTCTCACTCCACGGACGGACTCCGTCGGGCGGCTGCACAATACTCAGAACCGTCTCTCCTTTCTTGACAGTCTACAAAGCATCCTGAAGCGCCCGTCCACCAACATAATTAACCATCATATCTATCTTTCTTACCGCCTTGTACTTCACCCAGATCTTCAGGTCAGTACCTTGATAATCCATAATCTTCTCCGCACCCATTGATCGCACAAGCTCGACATTGTCGGGTTCACACGTTCCCACTATCTTGATCTTTAATATCCTTGCCGCAACCTGCACAACCTACATCCTAACACCCCCGGACGCAGCTGTAACCAGGATTCTCTTGCCTTTCCATGCCAATTAAGCTTTCGGAACATCTATCTCAGCCCCAGGCAGCATGATTCCTGTGTGGATGAAGAGTATCTGCCATGCTGTCTCAGTTGATACCGGCACCGCTGCAGCTTCAACCCAACTCAAGTCCCTCAGCTTCAGGGCAAGCTCATCTGTGATTGCTATTGTGTAATCCCGAGCATTTCCGGGACGGATGTAGTTTGTCTGTGCGTATATCTCAGCACCCGGTTGAAAGGGGGAGTCAAGAGATGCAGAGACAATAGTGCTGGAGATGTTAGGGCAGGGAATGAGAGTGCAGGACTGAGGTGGGGGGAAGTTTCTTGGCCAGAGGAGTTCCCCTGCGGAGAGAGAGCAGGCGTGGACATGAATAAGGTATTTGTTTTTGGTTGGGTTAGGGGATGGTATTATATGGAATATGAGCTTTAGATCTTCTATGTTTAATTCAGCAGTTGGTTGAATAAGGGTACGTGCTGTTCGGAGAGCCATAGCTATCTAGAGTAATACTATATCAGAAACAAGAGTGAAAGATAAGGTTAGATATGCATTGAATTTCACTGACAGTAAAAAGTAGAGAGGAACGGAAATATATATCAAGAGATGATCCAAGAATAGAGACACTTAGTCCCCTCGTCGGTAACCATAAACGTAGAATAAATACAAAGACCAGGATAATTCTAGACAAGTCCATTTCCTAGTATTCAATCCCCTTGGTGCTACTACGGTAGGACTTGTGCAATGATGACGAAAGGGCTAAGCGGGGTAGGATTCTCCCTCGTAATGGGATGTTTTATCCGTGTTCATCAAATATTTAAATAGGTAGAACCTGGGCTGGACTGTTCTGTAACAGACAAAAATAGTTATCTGCTGTTTAAAGACTAGACAGCATTCCAGATGGAGGGCTGCATCCATAAACCAACATACCCACCCGCACCTTCCTGTATCCACAAGACAAATACAATAGCTAATTAAATAAACACAACCCATCCAAACAACACTAACCAAAAAAAAAAAAAAAATTAAAAAAATTAAAAAAATAGACCGCGAGGTGAACGGAAGGAAGGTAGACGGAAAAGGGTAGTAAAAAGGGAAGGACAAAAACATACAACAGAAGGGATTCGCTGGTGGTCACCCACCCAACTACTAACCTCCCGGCGTGTGGCTTAAGTACGGCTGAGCGGACGGGAAGCCCTGTTCTCCACACCCTGTGGTCGTATGTACAAGACACAACAGTATTCTGGCTTATATTGAAGAATAGGGGCACTTTAGGGAGGAAACATAGGTAGTTGGTGACATTCGTACCTCAACTCCAGTATGAGTCCCACCAAGTTCCGGATGGTCCGTAGTGCATGGTCCACCATTCCCTTATCATTGGTCCGTTGTTTGTGAGACCTGGGGGCATGAAACCTTTGCAGTCGGGCATGTCCTACTAGTAACACGGCTTGTGATACAAGCCACTGTTTCAAATTAGATTAACTAACATGTATCATCTCCAATGGGCTATCAGGGATATTAGTAATCGATAAAGAAAAAAAGCGCGAGACAAATATGTGCAGTGCCGGGTTAAGGCTTATTGTGCACGCGTGCTATGGTCTAGAATTCCGTCTGACGTGCCATTTGGTATGTTGTGCAGGAAAGCCTGGATAGTGTCAGTGAATGAAATGAGGGGAGAATGATTCATTAACCACAAAAGTTACAGTGGGTCAGATAACATCCATGGTTTAAAAGTCACCGAGACACGGATTTGAGGAAGTTAAAATGGTAAATCCATATTCAAAGCCATAATTTAACATAATTCTCTACACATGGACAATGCTCTGATGGAGACCTTTCCACCTACGGATTATACCTATATCTAGCCACCGCTCTTCTGACTGTCGCGTGAGAGGAGCCGTGTATCCTGAGGAACAACCCTACTGTAAGTCCCGTGCATAGGAAGTAGTACCTTGTTAACAAGCAATATTCCGATCCCGAATCAGGGACATAGAACCAAATGAAATCTATAAAGCCTCTCATCTCCATCTCCAGCACCAGTACCAGGAATTCCTGGTCGCAGTGCGCGCAAAGCCGACCTTGCCCCAGATGTGGCTTCGGTGCGGTATATAGTAATCAGTGATACCAGGCCGGCCATGGCATCGACTTTTGGTATCTGTCCGAGTCCAAAAAAAAAGACAGGATAGCGTTCGCAGATCTATCCAATGGTGTTATGACACGCAGAGGGGCCAATCGGAGTTGCCCTGTTGATCACTTTAAGATTTGTATGGTTGACATTGCGAATGTACCTCAACAATGAGGCGGTGCAGGTGCCTGTCTCCTTGATCTGCAGGCTCTTGCTTTTATCTTCCCAACCTTTGGGACTTCATGTTGAAGCAACAGTCTCGCTTTTTCTGCAGCCGGCTGTTCTTTGGGTTGAACAATGTTATTCTTTCGATATATATACCGACTTCACATTTGGCTATCTTCGAAGAAAGCATTTGTCTTTTCTATCATACCTTCATCATGCCGAACCTTCAACAACATTGCTTTGTTTTGACAGGTCACAAACAACCTAATGGTGGGTTAACTCGAGAATTTCGACAAGGCAATACAGATGACTCTAAGTGTTTACGATATCCATTGATCCACAGCTTAGCATAGCTCTTCTACGTGGCTACACCTGTCTCATTATTTACACTCCATCAACATTCCTGTGGATCCTCTTCACTCGTTCACATCTCCAAATTACACCATGGAAACAGTTCACGTTGTCATCAAATGATCTGAGCCGACTATCTGCTAGCAACAATCACCACTCATATCTCGTCAACAAGTCATATCCCGAACACAGCGATGGGTTGTGGACACGGGAAATAAACACTCCAGCACATTTTCGACAGGGGACTCTAAGCAAAGTTATAACAAGAATAGCTCACTTATGCGGGGCATCAAGGTGGTTTTTCAGTGACGATTGCCATTGCACAACTAACCGCGCCACAATCAATCCGGAAACTGGCCCATTCAACGGATTGTATCTTTTCCGGTCGATTCTGTCTCGCAGATCCCTAATTCGTCAAGGCATGGTATCCAGCGATGTCTCTCAGACGACTGCGTTCAAAAGACAGAACTACCAGACTCTAACAATTCTCACGACGCAAAAAGACACCCGAGTCAGCAAGCACTCATCGCTGGGTATGGATTGGTTGCATGGGAGTAATTGGTAGAGGTCCTCTGAGGTACTACGGCTTATCCAGCCTCACGGACGACTATAAACCCCTCCTTCCTGTAGCCTAGCTGAACACAATTGACAACACACTTGTGTTCTCCTAGTCACAGGAATGTTTGACAGATGAGGTAACCTATGGAGTCACATGAGCCACATGAGCTACAACCTTGATATGTGGTCAGTTATTTCACAACTCATTTACATGGGTGACTACGTTCAAACTTACCATAATGGGAGGAAAGTCAAATGCTTTCTATCTTGTGTTTGACAGCACGTTTGTTGGTTTCAGTCATTGTCTTGTTGTTGGATTACATGTGTTGCTGTTTGATCCGATTCTCTACGAAGCACGTGATATGTACTTGAAGAGTTATAGTAGCCCTACACCGAAGCTTGCTCGAATAAGACTGTGCCGGAGTTATCTGCCATCGGCTGAGTCTCTTGATTATTTTATGCAGGACATCTTACCCCGACAATCGATATATTTAATACCTTGTTGGTAAGACATAATACTAGATCCCTGATTGAATGCAAGTGTTAATAGGTCAATTCTCATATCCCAATCGAATGGGCGGGGTGAAAGATGTTGGGGCCATCGGCCTCTTCCGTTCTTTTCCGGCGGCCGAGTCTCGGGTCCGCCGGTTATAAATCGACCTCGGGACCGGCCGGGGAGTCCAGTCCACCTTCATTCAGCCTCATATGAATGCAGCATCACGGCCACGATCCAATGATTACCATAGCAGTATCCCGCATCATCGCGCTCGGATAAGTCAGCACTCTAAACTTGACAAATCTACTGTCGGATTAATAGTCCTCATCCGACCCGTAAGTCGCGATTCGAGATCTTCAAGGCTGCCACATCAGGTTCTCCACCAATGTCAACTATATATACTCGGGGTTGTCCACCAGTTTGGAAACATCCCAAGCACGGATAACTTAGTTGTCTACAATCTCACCTCCTCAAGCCTTCAGGTCATTATTGTCACCATGTCGGGAAGTCAGGCCTCCTCTAGCTACCCTACACACGGCTATTTTCATACATTCAATGACCATAACGCATCAATATCCTCAGCCGATGGCAACTCCATGTTAGCATCCCACGGTACTGAAACATATTCCGGGCTCATGGGCGGTCCTAGCCCCATGCAGGCCCCTTGTGACCTTACCACTGTATTCTACAATAGCAATTCCATACCTCAGTATCGTGGTGCCTACTTTTGTGAAGGGCCTGGTGCAAGCTACGTCACAAGCCTGGATTACAGGAGCTTGGTTGAGGCGCAGTCAATGCAGCATCAGCAGCTCCCAACTGCAAGTGGTTTCGTCAACAACATCGCCACACCACCGTCATCTCGCAGACGAGCCAATGATATCGTGGCAGGAACCCGGTAAGGAAGATACTTCCAAATACCACCACTCTACGTCCAATACAAGTACCCAGCCTAATTCTCCACCCCCAGGGAGCAGCTAAAGCAACCCTATTAAAGCCGAGATTGAGATCCGCGGGGAGGATGTTCTTACCTATAATATAGACTGCTGGGCTATATTATACAAGAGCAAGCCTGCGGTAATGTGAGTCAAGCAATTCTACTCTATACTGAAAATTTGTCTGTCTCTGTCTTCACTGTAGACAGGCTAGAGTATCTGACCACCTTGCCTCTTTTTTCTTGCGCAGCCTTGGTTCCCCATATATAAGTCTACCACCAAATCATATTTTCTTATCCATTTAACCGCCCTCCACCTGTCTTAACATGTCTACTTTGCATGCTCGATATATGCAATACCTAACTATACTAACTTTTATATAGGAAGAAGGTCGACAAAAGCACGGTCAAAAAGCACTGGCAGGTGAAGAACGGCAACGCAGCTAATAAACAGCCTTTCAAACACCAAGCCAAGTATGGGATAAAAGCCAGTCCACTTACTAGTGCCTGGGCAAACCATGAAGGATGGACTTCAGCAGAAGAATTTCCTTTCGCTTTAACCGCTAGCGGGGGAGTTGGGTATGTTCTCTCCCATCTGGATCTTGTTCCGATAAGATAACTGATGAGATAATGGTGTTGATTATTTGTAGTACAATCCTTGTGGGGGTCACGCGCAACTTGTAAGAAGAGTAGAAGTTTTTATTATGAAATTTCTACCAGAAGAACGGAATTGAGCCATACAATCCGACCAAAAGTATTGTTAACACGTTCTGATTTGAGATCACTGGGTTCAAGGTCAAGCCTGGGAAAACAGCAACAATTGGGTGAGTGATTGACCTGTTCTTCTACCTTGTTTTTTCGGGACAAAATGGATGTTTAAGTCTAACTTTGATATGCGTAGGCCCTACTGCAACGTGTTCAATGCTAAGGGTAAAGGGACTCTTTGCAGCGCAAGCACCCAAGTCATTGGATACTGGGGGTTTGACGTGGCTGAATATGCGTACGTGTATAACCATCAGATAAAGAAGTTTGATTATGTTGGGAAATGATCAAAGCTTCATTTGATGGGTCACTTCTTGACTGAGTTAGGTAATGATCAGTATGCTGATGTCAAATATCTGGTTCGGATGTCGATTCTCTATGGGAGTCTAATGATTTCATATGTTCACTTTCTCCCGGGTCATTTTATTTTCCCTTCCTGTTTACGATGGGGTTAGAACTATATATGCGGTTCTCTTTGTGGATATGGATTTGGATATATATTGAACTTTTACAATCTTATAAATCATTGAGTCGCATTAATAGGAGGGATGGATGTGCTAGCTAGGCCATCCTCTGAAGACACATGAGACCCGTGCACAAGTGACCGTCAGCAGGCAAACTAGCAGGTAGTACAGAACTGAGGATGGCTGCCTAGAGCCCAAGTGTAGTATTTGTTGGGATCCCCGATGGGCTCCCACGCCGGTAGGCCACGTAGGGACACGTGACCCTCCTCCGTACACCGCTAGTTAGTCCATATAGATGGCCTACGAGGCCCCGAGCTAGATCATCATCCATCTCATTCTACACGGTTGAATCGCCTTAGTAGCCACTCCAACATTTTCTTGTAGCAGAGGAAGGATAACAGAGTGTGAAGGGCTCATTTTCAGTCAACCCTTCATCTTTCCTCGATTCCCCTTCTAAGCGTCCTTAATGAATGGGTTGGGACGGTATAAAAGACCTCACTACTCCGTATCCTCATGTGTATGATGTCTTTTCCTATCACAGGGAAGAATTTGAAATCCCAAGCAGTGGGCTGGGGTGATTCTCTGATTAGACACTACCCTGGTACGAGATTCTCTCTGAAGTTAACAGCGCAAACCTACAGAATGGGTCTGTCTCTACAGGTGCTGAGCTACTTCCCTCCTAGATCCTCCTTGATCAAGTCCGCTGCCCGCTCCGCAATGGCGTAAACCGCGCTCTGGGTATTCCCCCTGGGCACAATAGGAATGACGCTGGCGTCCACGATGCGCAATCCATTTGTGCCCCAGACCCGTAAGCGGGAGTCTACGACGCCCCCCTTCTCCCGAGGCATCATAGCGCAGGTACTGGTGGGATGAAAGGTACTCTTGCCAGCGCATTTGACGTACTCCTTAACATCATCCAGTGATATTTTGCGCAAATCATCAGGCGAGCCTAGGCGCTTGCCACCCGGTTTTAGCTTTGAGGCAAGGGGCTGTGATGCGGCAATCGCATCAATGAATCGGGTGTGTCGCGCGAGCATCTCCAGGTCGGCGGGGTGGGTCAGGTAACGAGGGTCGATGATGGGGTGGTCGGCCGGGTCGGCGGATGAGATGTGGCAGGTACCGCGCGACAGTGGGTGCATCAGACTAACGCAAATGGTAATGTAGTTCTCAGGCAGTTTCGACTGGATCGTTCGCATGGCTGCGCCCGACCCCTTGAAATCGGACTGGGCGGGGTATGTGAAATAGCCACCGGTGGCTTCCCGAGGGTTCTCGAGGAGCGAGCGCACAAAGGAGGCAAGGTCAGCGGCAAAGGGATCTGACGAGTCGGGGACGGTGGTGGCGAGGACGGTGGCTAGTTCATCGGAACCAGTAGTGGGATCGGAGAAGTCGGGGAGTGGGAGAAGAGCAGAGGAATAGTTGCCACCGATCGTGAAGGGGCCGAACTGGCGGGCGTGGTAGCTTTCCATCGCTGCACCAAGAACCTCAGGTACTCGGCGCATCAGATCATCCTTCGTGTTGATGAAGTCTTCCACTTCGAAGCTCAGCCCGGCCAGAACGTGATCCTGAAGGTTCTCCCCGACACTGGGGTTGTCAATTATCACCGGAAGGTTGAAGCTTTCAAGGATGGTGCGCGACCCGATCCCCGAGAGTTCAAGTAACTTTGGCGAGTTGAAGGCTCCAGCACAAAGGATGACTTCCCGAAGAGCCGTGACTGTGAAGACACTATTGTCCTTTGCGTACTTGACTCCAGTAGCCTTGGCGTCGCCATCCGGAACGACCTCGAGGAGTACCTTCTGAACCAGTGCTCCCGTCACAACATGCAGGTTAGTACGGTCTTTTGCAGGTAGATAGTATACATTGGCAGAGAAGCTGCGGGTCTTCTTGACAGGGTCAATAGTTGCTGCATTTGTATAACCCCCATAGGCAACCCCAGAGAAGGGATCGGTCGACATGGGGTAACCCAGCCCCCGCAGGGACTCAACCCACGCGTTGGCAATTGGGTCGAGAACTGCATCAGGAAAAGAGGCCTGAATGGGCCCATCGGTTCCGTTGACACTTTTATCAACGTACTCCAAGCCCAGCTCCTGGCGCTTATCCTCCGACGGCAATGTCAGAGTGAAGGTCTTCCTGTAGTATGGGCTGAGGGTATCCCAATCCCAACCGGTGTTCCCCAAGGCTCCCCAGGCGTCGATATTGGCCTTGGAGTTGGCAATGAATGCCATGCCATTCATGGCGCTTGACCCACCCAGGATACGGCCTTGTGGCAGGGGAATCTGTTTGCCCCCCAAGGCAACCTGGGTACAGCGAGTTAGCATGAGCAGTCTCTGGAACACAAGATGAAACCGTACCTGTGGCGCCGTCATGAACTTCCAGTCCGAGTCTGTGGCCACAAGGCCCGGCCATAGCGCTGGGGTCTGGACACGAGGATCATCGGTCTGGTCTTGGCCCGCTTCCAAGACAAGAACCTGGAGGTTGGGATTCTCAGTCAGGCGAGCTGCCAATGCAAGACCAGCCGTGCCTCCTCCGATAATGATGATGTCGGCCTCCGAGACTGACATGACGCTAGATTTATCAGGTGACTTGATTGGTTGGACGCGCTGAAGAGCACCGGGATGCGATAGGAGTTCACAAATAGGAGCAATTGAATGGAGGGGAGTGGTGTCCAAAAGAGAAAAGAAAAGAAGCAGAGGAGACACTAATTCCAGGTGTGATTGCGGGTTACAACGAGGAATAGATGAGAGACAATTGCACGGAGTGGAATGTTGGTGACCAAGGGTTTAGGATGGACGTTACAAGGACAAAGGCATATATTTAAGTATTACAGGAAGAGGAAGAGAATTGGGGTGGGATTGAAGCTGGGAAGGGGAACAAAGGGGTTGGTTGCCTAACTTGCTAGCCTTAGCCGTACTAGTACTACTAGGCTTGGGTATCAATCACATGGATCAATGTCTGTCACAGGGCAAAAGCACCCAGAACCCCTGCCCCTGTCAGCACGGCGTTGATTGGATGGCTCGGAAGGCTTGGGGCGGGCGGATGGAACGCCTTACCGTGAGATATTTTACCATTCCCCACAGTACAGATGAGTACAGTATCGTGCGCCATGATACATACCGTGTATTTTTCTTCGTTTTAATACGACCGAGGTATAAAGGCTGTAGAGCGGCATCGCCTGTTGTTGCCCACATTATTCCATCTTACCAGTGCCAATCGTCTTCCAACCGTGCGCGACTTGTGAGAGACCCCCAAGCGACAATGCAGCTAGAAGGAAACTCCGTTCGCCAACTCGCCAGAAGCCTGCTGGAGCGGCTGGTAGACGCTCATGATCCCCGCTACGGCTTTGGGACAATGACCTGCGCCATCTACGACACCGCTTGGCTATCCATGATACCCAGGACAGAGCAAGGTTTGACCGAGTGGCTCTTCCCCAAATGCTTCTTCTTTTTACTGGACAAGCAGCAGCCGGATGGAGGATGGGAGGCAACGGCTTCGCCCATTGATGGCATTTTGAACACCGCCGCCGGGTTATTGTCCCTATGCAAGCACCGCGAAACACTGTACCAAATCAGCATGTCCGAGCACGATCTGAATGAGCGGATCTCATTGGGGCGCAAGGCCTTGCTGGCCTTGCTTCGTGAATGGGAAATCTATGAAACGCTGCATGTTGGGTTCGAGATCCTGGTCCCTGCTCTTCTGGACTCGCTCGAGGCGTACGACATGGAATTTCAGTTCCGCGGCCGGGAGGCTCTGTACAATATCAGGGACGTCAAACTGTCAATGATCGACCTCCAGAGCCTTGAAGATAGAACCAAGCCCTCGCACTCTATTCTGCATTGTCTTGAGGCTCTGTACGGACATATAAATTTCGACAAGCTTGCTCACCACAAGGTTTGTGGTAGCCTGATGGCATCTCCCTCGGCCACAGCCGCATATCTCATCCATACTTCAAGCTGGGATGGGGAGTCTGAGGCCTATCTGCGTCATGTACTTGAGCATGGGGAGGGAAGGGGCGATGGCAGTGTCCCCAGCGCTTTTCCATCCACTATTTTCGAGCTAACTTGGGTCAGTCTATCCCCAGCCTCCAAAGGCCCTGTGCCTGTTTTTCTCCGTTAAGCAAGCTCACCCATGATAGGTACTATCGACCTTGGCAGCAGCAGGGTTGTCCGAGATTCAACTACGGGGGGAAGCACTCACTAGGGCGTTGAACATGATTAAGGATGAGTTTCATGCTCAGCTTGGCTTGATGGGTTTTGGTGAGCTACAGATCGGTCCCCTCTCCTCCCAGAAGGCATGCTGACCCATCACCAATAAAGCTCCTCAAATTCAGCCGGACGCGGATGACACTGCGAAGGGGATCACCTGTTTAAACATGCTGGGGGTGCCCGCATCGGCATCGGGGCTTGTGAAAAGCTTCGGGCAAGGCAAATGGTTCAAGACTTACTCGGAAGAGCGAAACTCTAGCATCAGCACAAATTGCAATGCTCTGGTGGCTCTACTTTCGGATAATATCCATATCCAGTTTTATAGTCCTGTTATAGCGAAAGTCACGCGACATCTCTGTGAGACATGGTTTCAGTCAATTAGTATTCAGGATAAATGGGTGAGAGCAACCTGGTTAGTCATCTTCAATGGAGGTATGGGTGCTGACTATCCTTTATCATAGAATATTTCTTCATACTACACCATCATGCTGCTCGCACAGGCATTATCGCGGGTTTCTGAGAGGTGGAGGTGCGGGGAGCTCTCGTCTCCTGACGATCACGAACTCTACGAGGAACAGGCCCCTCTCGTGCTCTTTCAGATTCTTATACATATCCTCCAGGGGCAAGACACTGGGGGCTCATGGGACGGTTCCATGGAGGTGACCGCATATTCTATTCTAGCCATTGAAGCTTTCAAAGGCACGGCACATGCACAACTGTTGGACAAGCAGATCCATGATGCACTGCGTGGAGGAAGGTCATTCCTGGTTCGACGATTCAGGGTGCAACAGCACCCAGAAATGCTCTGGATTGAAAAGGTTACCTACGGGTCCAGTGCTATCTCGGAAGCATATGTCCTTGCTGCTTTACACTCCTCCTCTATGGTGTACTACCGAGCCACCACGCCCGAACCCCCGCAACTTGGGGCAATGCCCTAGCTATGAGGAAGGTATATGAAAAACTCCCCTTACTGGAGGAAGCCCCAAAATGGCTGTTGTCTGCCTGCTTGGTCGAAGGAGCCTTGATTATACCACAACTGAAACGGAAGTGCGAGCAGATCCTTGGCTGCCCGCAAGCGAGCGGAAAGCACCTAAGCTATATTCCATTTACCTGGACAATGGCTACCAGATTGACGGGCTCTCACCTGGACCACAACGTGCAGCTGGATATGATGACCCTATCTGCCCTGTACTACAGCTTGGATTACTATATGGAAGTCATGATCGGATCTCGACCTGAAGACGAACGACGATCAGTCCGGGTAGCGTGATTGCGGATTTTCAGCACATCCAAAGATATGGCCGCCTCCCCGACCGTCCATCCATGGAAGATATGCTACGCCGGATTGTTTCATATGTTTGGGACCATCCGAAGGTCCAATTGGCTTCTACTGCGGACAAGAAGCAGCTATTGGTTGACCTTCGCCTGTTCTTCCTGTCCCACCTGGACCAGCTAGATGACAACGAGCAGCTGCAAAAGGACCGTACCTGTACACAACCTCATGCATCATATCTCACCTTGAGCGCAAAGCCTCGTCACTCATCCTTATTCAACTGGATTCAAATGACGTCCGGCCACCATACTGGCGGTGCTGCCGCGCTATCCTTTCTACTGTGCCTTGCCGCAGCCGGGAACAATGCTCTCCCATCCCCACGAGCTCGATATATCGGCGAAAAACTTTCACAAAGTTTAAGAGGCCTGGCTCGGATCCAGAATGATTATGGGTCGATCGACCGCGATCAACAGGAGTGCAATCTGAACAGCATCGACTTCCTGGATTGCCCATTTCGAGAAGACGGGCCGGATGAGGCCCCAAGGAAGCGGAGGAGGACGGAATCTACAGGTGTAGTTGGATCTTCTTCCCCCAGGAGCGATCTATTAGACCTTGCGCAGCACGAAAGGCAATCTATTGACCGGCTTCTTCAGGAAGACCTTCCCAAACTACTGGACCCCCGTGTGTTGGGGGCAATGCGGACATTTACTGCTGGCGTGGAGATGTATGGGCAGATGTACATTCTCAGGGACCATACACCTCGAAATACGGAGAAGGTCTAATTGGAAGCTGGCAGCATTATCAATTTGGCCTAGGAATTTATGTTTGCGTGTCTTCGGCCACTCTTGATGTCAATAACACGTAGCTGGGTTGTTGTACTTGAGCTACTATGGACTTCCCCTTTTTTAGACTTTTCTCTGATCGGTAATTAATCCTGGCTTGACTTTAGTGTGAATAGCCCAACCAGACAGCTGTTGTGTGGAACCACTCATACATATGTTTAACTTCGTTGCTACGTACTGTTATCCGGCGTGGTCATAAGTACAAGAAAACTCATTGATCTATCGCGTCTTTCTCTAAGGAGGGGCGGGGCGCCCTTCAGGTCTGCTACACTACTCGTACGTCTCGACAAACGAGCCATTCATCCCCCGCGGCAGACGCAGACATAGTAGTGGGGATCAAGACCAGCAAGGGACAAAAAAAAACAGCCAAGACATCGCTTGCGGCTTGGTGCTCGCTATATTTAATACCATGTGTACCAGACTGGTGTCGGGATGATTTTGCAAACCCCCCCCCCCCCCCCCCTAAAACATATAATTACGTTGTTCACTGAAACCATTACATCTTCGGTACACGGCTAGCCCTGCTCTGATAGGCGACGGCGGTCACTGCCCCCATCTGTTCAGCCTTGTCGATACCGGGGGCGGGGAAAATGGGGCGTGTATGGCATGTGCGGTGTGGTGCCATGCTGTGCTGCTATCCTGGTCGGTTTGCTGAGTTATGCCGAGTAATGGTCACTGGAGTGAAATAGGTGGGACAGGGTGTTCACGGGATAATTTTACTCACGACCCATTCAGCGATGTGCATGGCCGGCCTCTCATGAACGAGGCTCCGGTCACACCCGTATCACCCTGGGCTTAGATACCGAAGAAGTTGGAAGTGGGGACTGCCCAACCTATCCGGTACTACCTACTGGGTCCAGGGCAAACAAGCTCTCAGGGATCCTCCGAAAGGGCCCCCGCCTGTTTCCCCCCCACCGGCCAACAACTTCGTTGGTCAATAGTCAGCAGTGCCATGCCCTTAACCGGGCTTATCATGTCGTCGAAATTTCCCCGGGGCTGATGCTGCAGTCGCACTTTTTATTTTTTTTTGAAGGCGGGCAGTGTAGTGTGTTTGTGGGAGAAGTTGGTGCCGCCCCCCGAGCGAGAAGATTGAATCTTCTTAGTGATTGGCGCTGGGAGGTGACAGCACAGCTATCCGCCCCTATTTGGGCCGCCTTATACCTCTTTGCCCGCAGCTATATATATGGCTCTTGTAGAAGATTCCTAGGTCTTCAACATCTCCTGCGCTGGGGCTGAGGCGCTGGTTGTGCCAGGCAGTTGGTTCATTTACTGATGGTTTGATTACAGCATTCCTGGCGTGAGGCTCTTGAGTGCTCGAGGGCCAATGAGGGCATACACAACGCGATATTCAAGCCCGCACAGATTCATCCGTTGCTCATTTGACTCTGTCTTCCTTCCTTCTGATCCAGCTGATCATCATAACTACCAACATAAGTTCCTCAAAGATCGTTTCAGTGGGGAATCATTAAATCCCTCATATGACAAGCCCCGTGGAATGTGGTTGCTTGCCAAATCCATGATCCCTTGCATAATAACTTGTGTTCCGTCCATGCGCGCAGCCGTGTCTCGCCGCTCGCACCAGCAGTTGTACAGTTGTCATGGAAGTGGTAGTTGTAGGATGGGTTGTTCGTCCCGGCGTGCAGGGGGTGGAAGACTGAGGTCTTCAAGCATGTCAGACCTGGTTCTTGATTTATGGCAGCTGAAGAAATGCAGCAAACCTATGTGGTGTCTCACACCCTGTTGGATTGGCTAGCTTCACGCAGCGATGTCACCCTCGGGGCTGAGGAGACATGCGTGTGTGTTTGAGTCTCGAGGCACGAAGAATCAATCTCGTGGTCATGTCATGTCACGTCAGACATTAGTGCTGGCGATCCCTTACGCACAAGGCGAAGCCGAGAATGTCACGATGCAAGGTGAGCCATTGGGCGAAGACAGGGCATATTGTTTGATTGTGCCGGGATAAAGTGGAAGACTTGACCACAGCGTCTAGCCAAATAGGCCCATCCTGTCGATCATCACCGGTGCCGGTCAGAAGCCGATTACCGGCCCCTTGGTTGCTGGGCGTACCTTGGGGGCGAAAGATATGCAGATGACTGGTCCCTGTCTCCGCCCCCTAGTCTGCTCTGACACAGTTCCTTCACGTCTTGGGCTTGCAGAAATAATTGCATATGACGGCCAATTCTTCTGGTTCATGCTCTTATCCGATTGACTCAGCTGGCTAGAGTCCGCAGTTGTGGATGCAAGATGCATCCCAGGGGTACAGTGCGATGACCGCAGTTACCGCGTTGAATGTGGCTGTTTCTGCTCGCGACGGTTGGTATGTAGACGAGGTTCTCACGGCTGGCATGACTAAATAGGTAGGGCTTTTGTTACGCATGACCTTCTACTCGTATGCTGGAGAATACGGGACGATAGTAAACATCCAGTTGATGACGCTGTAGTACATAATACGGAAAGGAAACGAACAACTACCTAATCCATAAAAACACAATGAGTTTGAAAGCCTCCCGTTGTACTCCGTAGATGAGCCGGTACCATTCACGACAGAGAGGTGGGGAAGTGCCCATTTACCTATCGGTTGCCACTCCACTGTTGTTCGATCAAAGTCTCCCGCCAAATTCCATGCTGACCGGGAGGAAGCACTGTTCCTGTCCCCGCCGCCGTCTCTGGGGTGGCTTTCGGCTGCACCAACTTGATATGGTCCTCGGACCCAGCCTCCGTCACTCTTCGACACTGACCGAATAATGATGATTCACTTGGGCCGTCGTAGGCAGGGTGATTGATATGGCCGGTCCTCCGTGAGCTGTGCGAGCTCGCCCTTGATACAAGAAACCGGCTACGCAAGGACCGAAAGCTGGTGAGCCACCAAGACTCCTTCTTCTTATTCTGGAACAAGGCGGCCAGAAGAGGGAGACAGGTGCAGATGATACCAATGTCCACTTCCACGGTGCTGTCATGATAATCAATCAGTCGCGATCGAGCTGAATGTGGTGGAAGAACACACTTGACAATATAGATCGGTAGCAACGACCAAGTACTATCGGAAATATCCAAATGAAATCTGTAAATGCAGCCCAGAAAGCTCATAACGACGGCTCTAGAGAAACAGATCAGCAAAGAAGATCGGGAGGCCAGAGACTCAACTCTCACAAAAGACCAGTCATGAAAACGCCAGCCACCTTCCATTTCTTGGCGAGACTGAGGTGCAGTTGCGCGATGGCAAATAACGGCAGACAGATGATGTACACATCTGACACAACCCCGGTAGCTGCAACGGCATATGTTACCTTCACGAGGCCAGTTTCGTTGATAAAGATATAGAGGAACAAGACGATGGTGTAGAAGACGGTGCAGAAGATGATTCCAGCCCAGATGCCCAGCTTGACGGGACGATTAAGCGAGAAGATTCGGAGGTAGAGCAGTAACAGGGTGAGCTTAGTGAAGTAGATGGCTGGTGCGGTGAGGATGGCAGAGGGAGTCCCATACTTTGCAGTTGCGCGTTCGATCGTCAGAAGACTGAGTATCACTTCCACTCGGGACTGCCCCGGAATCTCACCTGCACAAACCTGACCATGTCTACCATACTGACATCCCACGCATGTGTCCCGAGCCCAACAGTTCCCTCTGTAGATGCGACTGGGTCAGCAAACCACCTACCACCTTTGACATGCCATGGCCAGCGAACCTTTGATAACCACGCCCGTGTAGGCGGCTTGAGAAAACTGGAATCCGAGAGAGTAAGCCGACACAAAAGCACCATGTCCTGGGAATTGTGGACGAACCAAGGCAAGCATAACCGTCACTGCACAGCCTCGTCAGCAAAGACAGGCCAGGAAATAATCACTCAGACATAACATACGATCATCCCACCACGGCTTTCGTGTCACTACGAAGCGAACGTAGAGCCGCAGGATGACAAAAATGGCCACGATGGTCGTGGAGATGCCCGCGACAATGTAATATTCGTAGGCGCGGTTGATCGGCTTTTCCATCTGTCTCACCGGATGGAGCCTGGCTGAGATGGTAACAAGGCCGTCTATGCGAGATATCACACCCATAGTGAATACTAGCAGGCAAAAGGATTGATTTTGACAACAGCAAGAACAACAACAACAGATCGTCCGTCGATATTCACCGGGGGGGATACATTGAACCCAGCGGGGTGAGAGGTCGGAAAGGTTATATAAGGTGCAATGGAGATGGAATGGCCACCCGCCCGGATGGCGCGCCTCGCGAGAAGACAACCCTGCCATCTTGGCATATGGCCTCAATTCTTCGGTTTGGTTACTCGAAAAGTAGATAGGGAGATAGTAGTACCAGTAGCCCGTAGCGGACTGGCCCTTCTGACTGCAGCATGCAAGGCATGATTGGCCCCTCCCATGGTCAACCTGCCTTTGGTCGGTGCTTCCTCGGGACTTTGGCTTGTGGTTACAGAGGCGCAGTAGCCGCTATGGCTGCACTGAGTATCCCGGAATATCTAGTACTGACTGAAATATCTTTCTTGAAACGGGCTGAGAGCGATGGTGCTATACAGGACTACATACACCCTCTCATGCTAGGTACCTAGGACCGGTTCCCACCTTGGTTTGCCGCCCCCACAGCCTTAATTCGAACCAAAAACGGTTCTTTATGCCAGAGAAAGTACGATTTCTGATCGTGCCATCTCAAGTCGTGCTCCATCTCCAGATCGAAATCGTAGATGACGCGTGCTAGCACCAGACGAAGCTCCGCCCGTGCCAGATTCTGGCCCAAGCAGCTCCGCCCACCTACTGCGAAAGGACGGAAAATAGATCTGGCTTCTTCTGAACCGTCCCCTCCAATCCATCTTTCTGGCAGGAACTCGTAGGGCGATTCGAAATTTGTTTCCGAAAAGTAAGCAGCATATTGCGGGATCCCGACGAGGGTCTACAGTTGTTAACTGAGTGCGTGCTCGTACGGGGGATTTTCTTTGGAGACATACATTACCAGGAACAAAGTGACCACCGATAACCTTACCTTCCTGGGGAACGATGCGGCTAATGGAGGCAGGAACGGGATGACAAAAACGGAGACCTTCCTTGATGACCGCGCACAAATAGGGCATTGCAGCCGTGGAGGCTATGGTCAGGTCACTCGCATTTGAGACAGATCGGACCTCCTCCTTCAGGCGTGCCAGGGCTTGAGGATGATGACAAAGAACGTTCGTGATACCGGCCAGCGCGGTGGCGGTTGTTTCGCTCCCAGCAACGATTAAAAAGGTGAAGGTACCGACTAGCGTCTCCGTGGTCAGGATGTCCTCCCCTTTGTTAGCTGCCGAGAAATAAGTCGCAACAATATCGTCCAGCTTCTGGAGGTCCTCGCGTTCGAGACGGCGCTGAACCTTGTCGCGGGACATGGCAAGAAACGAGCGTTTGAGTCGACGAAGAGAAGGTGGAGCAAGTAGAGGCAACAATCGGTCGAGTGGAGGCCAGAAGCGAAGGCAAGCATTGAAAGATGAATATGTAAGATGACTGGAAATCATTTTTGTCCAAGGGTGAGTTGTTGTGTCTTCCAGCTGATCGAACGATTCGCTGAAAGTGAGTGCTCCCGTTACGTCGAACGAAAACCAGTTGAACCATTCCACGATGTTAATAATCTTTCCATCCTGTGCCACCTCATGTAGCTTGTTTACTAATGTGGTCACGTACGCCTGAATGACGGGCTCTTGGTTGGCCAGGGCCTGCTCGGAAAAGGCATGCGCAAGCGTTTTCCGGACCTGAGTGTGCTCCTCACCGATGCTGTCAAAAAAGCTGTGGAAATCTTGGGACATAAAGACATCATTTTTAGGTAAGCCCTTGTTCTTGTTGAATTTGGTGTAGATATCTTCCCAAGCCGCGCCATCGATGAAGGACAGCTCGTTTGGTGCCACACGCACAACCGGTCCATATAAATCATGGAAGGATTTGATTTGCATATGCAGATTTCCCCTGAAAAGCGAGGTCATGAAGAAAAGCCGGGTAAACCCCCATGTTCTTGGTCCAGGAAAGCGAGCCAGGGGATGGAAATACGCGTTGTAGATGGAGCGCCCTAGGATATACTGCAGACGGTCAGCTGTCGCTTCAGCTCTGCGAAGAATAACAGATAAACTATTTTGTACCAGAACAGCAATCGCGAGCCATAGCAACGGCGACCGGAGATCGGCAACAGTCAGCATGTTGGATGAGTGTCCTATGAGACTTTCTCAGGGGGGATTGGTGGCAGTGGACGGATGCTCGCCCAGGTTATAACTGAGTCGTGGGAGGCGCAGCTGGCGATCTCCTGTCCAACCTATGACATTTCCAGTTCGCCCAATGGCTGAGTCGCGACCCATGCAATGGCAGCTGTGATCAGGCACATCGCCTCCGGCTCACCCGAACGCAGGCCCAATGATAATGATACCGCTGGATACCAGATGATACCACCACATATGATATGACCGTATTGATGTTCCGTGTTCTGAAAATAACCACTGCGGCCGCTACACAACAGCTGCATGACAGCTGCACAACACGAATAATATAGGGGGCCAGCCGCGCCACTTGGCAGCCAGGAGCTGTCATGCCATTCCATTCCCCGAAGCTCGCCCTACTCGTGATCTGCGACCAGTACTCTGTCCGGAGTACCAGGGCTCAGGTCCCATCCTCTGGGTGGAGTATAAACCAACAAGCAACGGCACCTGCGGTTTCGGAATCAAACCCCTCTATTAACCATCATCCGCATCCTCCATGGCCGCCCCTGAGAAACAATCCAACGATTCCCTGACTCATTCGTTGTCGGGTGACCCTGACCTGGTGAATTTCGACGGCCTTGGAGACCCTGCTAAGGCTATCCACTGGCCACTACGGCGCAAGTGGTCCATCATGTTGATGCTTTCCATTATGTCCTTCATTATGTGAGTGCCTACGCTGTTGGAAAGGGTTGCCACAAAGCTGACGAAGCTACAGGCCATTAGCGTCTTCAATGCTCGCCCCTGCCGTCCCAGAATGTCTTGCAGACTTCCGTTCCACCAGCTCCATCCTAGGATCTTTGGTGGTTTCCATATATCTTCTTGGAGGCGCCGCGGGGCCGCTAGTAATAGCTCCACTATCTGGTATACTCCTTTGCTTGGTTATTGCGAAACCATCTGTCTTTGCACTGACTTCGGTATCTCCACAGAGATCTACGGACGCTCTATCATCTACCATGTCACAAATGCCCTGTACATCGTCTTCAGTATTGCGTGTGCCCTGAGTACGAATCTGAACATGTTGATCGGGTTCCGATTCCTCGCCGGAGTTGCTAGTGCCGCAGTTATGACGGTTGGGGGAGGAACGGTGGCCGACCTTTTTATCCAAGAAGAGCGCGGTCGGGCTCTTGCGATTTGGACTCTGGGCGCATTGCTAGGTCCCGTTCTCGGGCCCGTGATAGGGTCTTTTTTATCGGCAGCCAAGGGTTGGAGGTGGGTGTTTTGGTTCCTAGCAATTGTGGTAACACTCTCACTCATTCCGTTGGCCCCCAGCCACCTGACTTACTTACCCTCTAGTCTGGTGGCATGTCCGGCGTGTTCTTCATCTTTCTGCGTGAGACCTCCTCAGTCATCATTCTCAGACGCAAGGCTGCTCGGCTCCGCAAGGAAACTGGCAAATCTGCCCTTAGGTCCCACCTCGACGTCGGCACTTCCCCAGGCGCCGCCTTGAAGGCTGCTGTTATTCGCCCCCTAAAGCTCGTCCTTTTCTCCCCCATCGTTGCCGCCATGGCCACTGTCACTGCCATCATCTACGGTTATCTATACATCCTGTTTACAACCTTCACCATGGTCTACAAAGATATCTATGGGTTCTCCTCGGATACGGTCGGGCTGATCTATCTTGGTCTCGGCGTTGGCATGTTCCTCGGCCTTTTTGCATTCGGAGCTCTGTCGGACTTTGTGATCAAGAGAGAAGCAGCGCGACACGATGGCGAGATGAAGCCGGAGTACCGCCTGCCGCCCATGATCTTGGGCGGAATTTGTCTCCCGGTGGGCTTGTTTGTCTACGGCTGGACGGCAAAGAGCCATGTCTTTTGGTTTATACCTATTCTAGGGACCGCCATCTTTGGGTTCGGTTTTATCGTTTTCTTCGTAAGAACTCCTTAGTCTTGTGTCCGGTTTCAGCTTGCCAAAGAACCATTGGACTGACCTTCTGTCATGTTAACAGATGCCAACACAAGCTTACCTAGTTGACGCCTTCGCCCACAATGCTGCCTCAGCTCTCGCTGCTGGGGCAGTCCTGCGTTCTCTAGGTGGCGCTTTGCTACCCCTGGCCGGAGTTCCCATGTATGATAAGCTCGGGCTTGGATGGGGGAACACACTACTTGGCCTTATCGCCATCGCCACCATCCCTCTTCCATTTTTCCTTCTGAGATATGGGGAGCGTATCAGGACTTCTCCACGATTCCAAGTCCGGCTGTAGCCCATTCAGGAATAGACCCCCTTGCTCTGTGTTGGATAGACTAGCGCTGTTGTTCGAACGCTCACGTCACGGTGTATTTCTTCTCCCAGCCCTTGGCTACATTTTGATTTCATCCAGGGTGGTGTTGGTTCTTGTAACCAATGTGAGGGCAGGGCCTCAGTTTGGATCATTTGTGAAGTGCTGAGCAACACTACGTGCTTATCTACTTGCTCCTCGGGTTGCTTTCCAAGAATACCCGCTGCCTGTCTTTCTCTCGGGTGGGTATACTCGTGTAGGAATAGACTTGCTTCCGCAGCTCCCATCCATCCATCCACCTCACAATCGCCTTTTTCCTTCAAGTCAACGGTATCTCCATATGCCGAGGAACTCTCCTCGCGCCTGGGTAAATCCGGTAAACAACGGCAGAAACAGTAGAGGGCCAGATCCAAGACCGGCTGCCTCACTTGCAGGTACGAGACCCTTGTTTCCCGGGTGGCGAAGGCAATGGTAATAGCCGGCTGCGTAGAATCCGGTGAATTCAATGTGATGAGTCCAGGCCGAGGTTGGTACTAGAAACTAGTCCTGTCTACCTAGATTTGCTCCCGTTCCTAATCTCCCAGGCCAAGAAATATCCACCAACGCCTGGAATACCTGCAGTTATCGGGAATGCACCTCGACGGGCCGGAAGTGCGACGGCTACGAAGCCCCGGGCAACAGGCGGACAAAAGCCACACTGGCTCACACACAGAGCTTGGTGCAGGTGCTGTCGGCCTGGGATCTCGTTGGGCATAGTCTAATGGAGAATACGTATTTCAACTACCTCCGCATGGTAACCATACCAAATCTGGCGGGTTTGTTTGGCTCGGGGATCTGGTCCTATCGGTTACCCCAGGCCTCACATCGATACCCGGATTTGTGGCATGCGATGGCCGCGCTAGCGTCTTTACACTGGGAATCTTTCACGCACATCGGGGGTGCATTGATGCTATGCCACAACTGGCGTCTTGAATTCGAAGCACATGACTCTGTGGACATGTCCCTGCTGGTGGTTCTCTTGGCCCAGCTCGACAGCCAAGCCCGTCCAACGTTTCTGCTCCAACAACTTCCTATCCCTTGGATACAGACCTGGTTTGTCCTGCCTGCATCCCAGGCCCGTTTCACATTCCTCCCAGAGGTGCATGACTCACTGGAGGTCCATATAAATAATATGCTGCAATTCGTTCCAAGCGCCCCTAGTTAAGTCTGTTAAGGTCTGATCACTGGAACTGTTTAACAGCAATCAAGCAAGGCTCAGGGCTTTCTTAATCCAGTTAGACTTATATCTTGAAATGAACAGAGAGAAGCTTAAGAATAAGATTAATAAGATTTTTTTTAAATTTATCTATCTGACCAGAACAGTATTTAATTAGTTCAAACCATATATTTATAAGTATTAAGAAAAGTTGGTAAATAATCAGAATAATGATACCAAGAAAATCTTTACTAGTTATACAAGATTTAAATAATATCTTGAATAAATATTTAGAGATATTAATACACTATATAATACTAAATAATAATTATAATAATTTAAGTAAACTAGATTAATATTTAAATATACTTTTGAGTTTTTACAGGTTATCAGTTACCTGGACTGGAATGACAATACTTATATTATATATTTTAAAAAAGAACTTAAAATAGAGATTCAAGAGAAACTTATTTAATAAGAATAATTAAATACATTACTACAGATAATCAAAGCAATAGTTAAGATTAATAATAAGTTATATAAATATAATATAAAATGGAAAGAAGGCTGATAGACCAGCAGGTCTATATCTTAATAAAATAATTAAACAGGTTACCAAGCTAATAATAGAAGGTCAGTGTAATCTAGAAGCTTGGGATACGAAGATCTTTATAGATTAAAACTAATAAAGCTAGATGTAGTACAGTATCAGACTTACTATAACAGAATATTTAAGAAGAAACTCAAATAGTATAAAAGAGATTACTTGTACTTTATCTGCAGTAAGACAGATCATTAATTAAGAGACTGTAAACAGAAACAGTAACAGCCTCAGAAGTAGTTAAGAGCTATATAACCAGATTAAGATAAAGCAGTCTATAATCTCACTGCTATTCAGTGTAAAGTTTGGATAGAAATCATAATACAGATACTCGATAGTAAGAAACTACATACTATTTAATATAGACAAATATTGGAAGACATAATGTACCATAATTAGTTAAGGCAACAGGTCACCACGGATAAGCCAATAGTACTATTAAAACATTAATTAAGATAATAGATTATTATAAATAAGTCAACAGTATTACCAAAATGCCAGAGAGACAACCAGCTATCTATATTATTTAATTAGCCCATAGAAGTCAATAACAGTTATAAGCCAGTTCTAGAGGACAGCTACCTTGACATAGTTTAGGATGAATTTGACCCCTTAGACAAAGAGTACGGTACTTAACTTGAAGGCCTTACACCCAACAAGGAGAGACTTAGTAAGATACTTAATACTCTGAAAAACCCCTTATCAGAAATAAGTAAAAACCGTCTGATATAATAAGATAAAGATAAAGAAAACTAGTAAAATAATAATAATAATATTACTTACTGGTTAGACCACATATTGAAAGAATTCTCGGAGAATCCAGCACAATTTTATCTAAAATTGAAGAAGATTATATAATATTATCTATATTAAAATCTAGAATATTGGGAATCATGAAATAAGACCTGGAAATAATACTAATAAAGATATTCCTGTTATCCAGAAATTTGCTTAATATATAAATAAGATAATACAGACTATTACTATTAACTGTCAAAGATTAGCCAGAAGGTATAAGTAGCTGGAACTGAATCTTAATATAATAAACTATATCTGTATGTATATTTCAAAAAAAAACAGAAAATATTAGAAATATAATAAACTATCTTAGATTATATATTATATAAATACATGCTTTATATATTATAATTAGAAGTATATTGTTAACTACCAATCCAGAATATTAGAGATAGTAAGAGCCAAGGTAAGTTACTGTCTATATCTTATCTACAGTTATGCGTGTAAAGGATATTAATAATATCTATATTATAAATTAGTATATTAGATAACATGTTTTAATAACTAGTATATAATACATTACGCGGCAAAAATAAAGGGAATACGATTTCCAAGGAAATACTTAAGATAATAGGAACCTAATTGGCCAGAACAGCAGTTAGTAACCACTGAATCAGGGCCTTATTTAAGGATTGAAGCAGTTATGCTAGGTCAAACAGCCCAAGTGCTGGTAGACTCTGGAGTAACCGGAAACTTTATGAACCCGTGATTTATACAGCAGCTTGGACTACCTGGAAGATAGAAAGCAGAACTTAAACCAATAACAGGACAGAACGAAGAGAGTTTAGAATCTTTTTTAACAGTTGAGTCAGGGATTGTACCTATAGCTGTAATGGATTATTTTAAATGCATCGACTTTGACGTGACACTATTAGAATGATATAACTTAATATTAGGGATTTCATGGCTCAGGAATCATAATCCCTGAATTAATTAAAAGACTGAGAGTCTCTAACTCATGAATTACAAATGCCTAAGACAACACCAGCAAGGACTAGATATGGGGTCTAGATCCGTACGGCCTGCTACTCAGCAAGAAGCTGGAGCGAGGACTAAGCAATTTATGAGGAAGTTAAGAACGCTATAAAAGCCTAACATACCAGGCATCAGAAAGAACTTAGAGAAATATAACACCTCAAGTATAGTTATATAAGTAATAGCAGTAATTAAGCCAGTACAGAGAGATTAGCTTATAGAATTATTAAGATAGATACTAATAATAATAAACAAGTACTGAGAGTATAGTACTGATAATACTGAAGTCAGAATACAAGAGCAGGGATTGGAAGATTTATGGGAACTTTTAATAGTGATTAAGGATAAATCATGCATCCCATTACAGTATAAGAGATTTAAGGATCTGTTCAGTTAATTAAAATAATCTAAATTATCTCAGCACGGAAAGCATAACTATATTATTTCTATTAAAAAAGGAAGATTACTAGTATATAGAAAGATTTACCTGATATCTAAAAAAAAATTATAGATACTATAAGAATATATTAATGACTAATTAATAGAAGATAATATCAGGCTTTCAAGATTACCAGCAGGACATGGAGTCCTATTTGTACTAAAAAAGGACAGTAATTTACAGTTATATATAGATTACTAACTACTCAATATTATTATGATTAAGGATTAACACTCATTATCTTTAATTTCGGAAATCCAAGATAAGATACAAGAAATAAAGTAGTTTACCAAGCTTAATATTATAAATGCATATTATCATATATGCATTGTAGAAGATAAGAAATGAAAGACTATATTTAAAATAAAGTACAGATACTTTAAGTACTTAATTATATTATTTAGGCTTATTAATATACCAGTATTATTTCAGTAATATATTAACAAGGTTCTGGGAGAACATCTTGATAGATTTATAATTACTTATTTAGATAATATATTAATCTTTTTAAAGATTAAGAAAGAATATATCAAGTATGTAAGATTAGTTCTGTATAAACTATACTTATATTAATTATAATATAAGTTAAAGAAGTATAAATTCTATATACAGAAGACAGAGTTCCTAGGATATTAGATATCTATAGAGAAAGTCTATACTAAGCAAGTTAAAGTGCAAGCTATATGTCAAACCCTAGGATCGCTTCTCCCTGTTCCTGTTAGCTTAGCTCCCGTTCCGATACGTACCTGTGAACTGAATTAAGGTAGTCAGGTCGATGTCTGTCTAAAGGTGACTTGATCTTTGAACAAGAGAAGAGAAGTAAGGCCAGATAGTGCCGCGCAGCTATCCGTAAGTGAGTGCGGACGAGTGTTGTCGCTAAGCTTTTACCAAAACGTATGGTTACTTAAAGACAATGTGATTGAGCACGTAGAACAGAACTAGCTAAGTACATGAGAGAGTGTCCTTATATCCTATCCTTCGCCATGGCATCGCCATGATATGTCATGTCGCCGATATGTTATGTCGTAGCGCTGCCATGTTCTGTCGTAGCGCTGCCATGTTATAGCGTGTCGGTGACATGTCCGTCGTGGTCACGTGTTGTGTAACCGTCCTGGTTTGTAGGTTACTCAGATCGGGATTCTACTCGATAAGAGTCCTCGCCTTCCGGACGTAGCCTTCTGCCCAACGAGTCCGCCTTACTAGTTCGTTCAGCTAGCAGGGGTCCGTAAC